ATAGGCTGCGGTTATTATATTACGTTCGGTATTAAGAGGTATTAGTGGGCAGAGAAAACGTTGCGATAAGACTACGTGGAGAACATATAACATTAATGAACTTGTCGGGGAAGCCACAATTATCAACAGACATCGTAGGGGCGAATAGGGTGATCGAGGCTAAGAGAAATATTGAGTACACCAATCAAGCTTGCAGTCTTAGAACAATTTAGAAATCTTCTCTTGACGTTAGCAAACGAATGACAGTTCTTAGGACGGAGGCACCGCTCTTCAAGAAGGCTGGTTGGTAAGTGTGTAATGGCGTCTACGCGCCTCCATTGGCTTCGTCGTAGTACGAAGTTAGCCGAGTTCTGACGATACCGCAATCTCGGAAGTCGTGCTGCGTTTCCTTTGGCTACCAAACTAATGACAGTCACCGACAAACATAATAATATATAAGTTTCCGTCGAAAAGCGAACAATTAAGGTGGCGCCATCGTAGCAAGTGATGTGATTTCAAAGATAGCGCCAAATAATGTTAAATATTTCAACTCTCTCCACAACGTTTACAACTGCTAGTTATCTTGTCAAACTAGCGATATTTTAGTGGGTTTTTTTAGTTGTAATTTGATTGTCTCTAATATAAGATAGTTCTTATTAGCTCTGTCCCACATGCATACATGTGGTATGGTAAGACGATATCAAATGAATATTTAGTTTAACACCAAAATCTTTTATTTCCCAAAAAAAAACATTCGTAACATTGTAATGTCAATTGATGACTGTAATATACATTTTTTTTATTTTAATGCCATTGTGAACTTAATTAAAAAATACCGATATTTCCATATATAAAATAGCTATTTATCCTGTTTATCCTGACCGATTGATTCGTCCAACTACTCTAAGCCTTTGAATCAATATTCACATAATGACTCTATGGGCTCCGATAAGCGATAAATACGAAAAATAAATAATAGTTAAAAAAACTAAATGGGGGGGGCATGGTATCAGTAGTTATAAATATTTTATGAACAGATATGAGTAGAAGGGTGTTATTTTGATAATATCCTGAAAAGCACTCCACGCTGTTTTACAATAAAATCATTTTTTCTTACACTATTTTAATTCAAATTTATTAAAATTTATTTTCTATTTTTTAGTTGGATTTTCTATAAAAGCGTATTTTTTTAAAGTATTATTTATTTTTCATTATTTAGTTGAATTTAAATTTTTTCAATTTTTAAATATTGTATTGTCATTATTAACCCTTAATAAGTATGCCAAATTTCAAGTTAATCCGACGTTTTGAAGGGGGTCAAAATCATGTTCAAAGATTCCGGTACATACTAACAACATCCATACGTCTGAAGCTAATAAAAGCGTATTAAAAAAGTATTTGAGTTGTTAATGCGTAACAAAATTTTGTTCAGCTTATTTTAATGAAACACATGCCGAAACAGTCATTCGCATTGTCTCACCTTGACACGCTTCGTTGTTTTGTATGTAACCCTCTCGTAATTGTCGTAGTCTGGTCACGAAGTGTATAAGTTTCACGAGACGTTTGTTCAGGACTTAGTCTGAGTTATTGAAATTGAATGCCCCTAGTACGGACGTTTTGATGACGTAGGTTTAAAACAACTAGGGTTCCCCGATTAGTCGAAATTCGACCATAATTAATTTAAATTATATTATAATTTTGAACATTATTAAGGTTTTATTGTCAAAGACCGTCAAAGATGTCAAAGCATTAGCTTACACTATAGATAACCTATAGAAAAATAATATTAAAGACAAACAATACATAGTAATCTAATCTCAATTTGGCACAGACTTGACTACATAGTATAAAACAAAGTCGCTTTCTCTGTCCCTATATCTGTGTATGCTTAAATCTTTAAAACTACGCAACGGATTTTGACGCGGAGGAAAGTTTATATGTATAATAACATCCATTAAATAGTGAAGAAATCAATAATAAATTTAAGTTTCCGAAGCGAAGCGAGGGCGGGTCGCTAGTTATATTATAATTTTGAACATTATTAAGGTTCTATTGTTAAAGACTATTAATCACAGATTTCGCCAAGGCTTACACTATAGAAAATAATATTAAAGACAAACAATAGTAATCTATTCTCAATTTGACACAGACTTTAACAATAAACAAAAGAGTTTATATGCGTGAATATTATTATATTTGTTAACTTATTTTTATGCTTAGTAAATAAAAAATACTAATCTTCTGAACTCCTTCTCTATATTCTCTATAAGTGTGTGAAATTTCAAACTCCTTCGTCCGCGCAATTTTCATACAAACGGGTACAAAGTTTTTGCTTCACGTATTAATATATAAATTAAGCGGATAAACGAAAAGGCTTTTTATTTATTTATTTGCTCACGTTAATCAAAACTATATATACTTTTGGTGTGGATTGCAAAATGAACGCATTACTTTATTATTACTAATAGTATTTTCTTCGGTTTTCGAGAATTATAGATGTAATTAAAACTACTTGAATTCTTGGCACCACTGTCTAGAGCGTGATGGTAAACAACAACAAAATTACAGTTTTTTTTCTGTCCTTAAAGAACTTATTCACCAAAGCGATTAAGCCACTTGGTTAATTTACATCTATATAGGTATATATAAAAATGAATTGCTGTTCGTTAGTTTCGCTAAAACTCTAGAACGGCTGGACCGATTTGGCTAATTTTGGTCTTGAATTATTCGTGGAAGTCCAGAGAAGGTTTAAAATGTGAATAAATATGAAAATTTAACGGAATTATTATACATAAAAACTAACAATTTTGTTTTTCCTTTGATGTGTCCTCCGTCGGACGGATTCCTTTTGTTTGTTTTAAGTTTATTTTATACAAAAGCTTAGGTCTTTTATTTATCGATTAAGGCACTACGAAGTATGCCGGGTCGGCTAGCTATCAATAACGAACACTATTGCCAAATTATACACAAGCATAAAAAGGTTTTCAAAAAGTTTGATTATTTTTATTTTTGTTTGGGTCTACGGGTCACGGGTCGTACGAGTAAATACCTCCACCCTACCTATTTTTAACAAGAAGCAGTAAAGCGTTTCGGTTTAAAGGGTAGGGCAGATGTGGTACTCTAAAAACTGAGACTAAGAAGCTATCTCTCAAAGTGTGTGGCGGCATTTACGTTGTTCATGTCTATGGGGTCCGGTAACCACTTAACCTCAGGTAGACCATGAGCTCATTCACCCGTCTAAGCAAATAGAAAGGCAAAAGAAGGTAACTAACCTGATGCCTTCCGAAGTGGATGCATCAAACAACACTGATTTTTAGTCACTTCCCCTTTTGTGTTGTGCTAACTTTATTGTGTTTTTTCATAAAATCGCTATCACATGCGACACACCTTAAACTGTGCACCCTTTGATGAGGTTAAACGATTCTATTAGTAAGTCCACACACCTGATGATAAATGCATTTTCTGCATTAGCTCTTAAAGCAATACAGTTGAGTCTAAATTTCTATGCTCTGCTGATAACACTTAGGTCACTTATTTCAACATCACTATGGTTTAATTTTAATTGACGCGTGAATTATATTTAATGTTTGTTATGAACATTTCGACCTTTTGGAAAGTTTGGCTTGTTATTGTGATATTAATTTTAAATTTTGACTTAATATTGAGACTTTGTCGTCGTCGCGGCCTAAAAGATAAGACGTCCGGTGCATTCGTATGTAGCAACGCAACGGTGTTCGAATCCCGCAGGCGGGTACATATTTTTCTAATGAAATACGTACTTAACAAACGTTCACGATTGACTTCCATGGGGAAGGAATAACATCGTGTTATAAAAATCAAACCCGCATAATTTGCGTAATTGCTGGTGGTAGGACCTCTTGTGAGTCCGCACGGGTAGGTACCACCATCCTGCCTATTTCTGCCGTGAAGCAGTAATGCGTTTCGGTTTGAAGGGTGGAGCAGCCGTTGTAACTATACTAAGACCTTAGAACTTATATCTCAAGGTGGGTGGCGCATTTACGTTGTAGATGTCTATGGGCTCCAGTACCCACTTAACATCAAGTGGGCTGTGAGCTCATTCACCCATCTAAGCCTAAAAAAAAACTTATTGTGAAGCCCGCAATGTATATATCAGCGTCCATCTCTGCCCGAATTCCGATTTCAAGGATGTAACAGCCGTTTTACCAAACAGTTGAGATTTCGACTTAATGTTCTTTGACATTGCATGTGTGTATGTGTTTTCCCCTACCTAATCACCGGTAAAGAAGGTAGCCAAGGAAGGTAGGTAGGAAGAGAAGCAATTCCAGTTGCACCGATTTGGCAAGCGATATCACGGAGATGATCTTGAAAGATCTTGCCCTAGCAAGAGCAGATCGCGTTGTGATGGATATTACCTCCGATAACAAAATTAACATCGGACCGTCAATGACTTCGTTCAGTCAATTCATGTTTAAAAAAAACACGTAGGTACTTTCTTTTGTAGAGTATTTATTATATTCTTATATTCAAATTTTTTATCTATACATTTTTATTTGTTTAAATAAAGTGACATAACAATAGTATCGTCAATAGTTTATTATCTAAAAATATTGTAGATTTTTTAAACGCTTATTTTGCAACTGTAAAAAAGTCCGGTCGTCTTCAAATATATACATACACTTTATGGTTTTTTTTTTCTAAAAACACGAGACTAATATCAAATAATTGTTCCAAATACCTCAATAGAAAAAGGAGACTATTTAAAAATATGATAAATTATTGATAAGTTATCAATATCTTATCATTTACAGATTAGATTGTGTTCAATTCAATGAACAAAGAGCCAACTCATTAATCTAATATATTCCAGAAAATTCTTTAATTTTATATATATCTTTGTTCATAATACGATACAGTTTTTTAAAAACGTAAATATTGAACTGCTCCAAAGAAAAACTACGGAAATTTGTTTGGAAAAATTATCCTTAATTCGAAGGCAATACGTACTAAAATTTAGTCCATTGTTTTAGTCGAGCACGGCTTTAACTGACTCTGCACAAAACGTCATACATTTTAAGCGCAACTTCTGTGCCGCCAAAGCCGATGTAACACGTCTTGTGACTTGGGTGCACTTTACCGGGGGTCACGGATAGCTGGTACCTTGCCCTGCCAACATACAAGGTCTCTCCTGACGCCGTTCTTCCTCCGAGCACTGCTCCAGGAGGTACGCTGCCGTTAGACGCTGACACCCACCGCAGGTCCTCCGGTCTGGCGCACAGAACCTCAATATTTTGAACGGGAATCTCTTTACCGTTGTACATAATTGAGGCCGCGTTGTGCCTCACGGACAGTTTTCCAGGTATCATGTCTCCCATGTGCCAAGCTCTGATGACCCATAAGGGACTTCCGTCCCAGCCTTCATGTCCACCAACAACGGCGCGACCAGTGAGCGAGGACGCGGTAGTGGCGGTGGTCGCGACCCAATCGTACTCTCCAGGATGGTCGACTACGCTAACTTGATCCACATTAGAAGATTCTCCGTGGTAAATGTAATTGGTTATGTACGTTGGCTGACCTTGATCCGGGGCTCCAGACATTGGTGGCATCGGCACTGGTACTGGGACCATAACAGTCCCGGGAACGTAGTAAGGGTACGGGTGGTGTGGATTAGGAGGAACGTAAGGTCCCGGTGGAGGAGGATGCGCCCCTGGGTGTGGAGGGGGGTGAGGCCAGTGAGGGGCAGGCGGGGGTGGGTAGTAAGGCGGAGGCCCTCCGGAATATTGACTCATTTTGCGCGAATTATCACAAAACACTGAGGACTTATCGAAATAGACCACTTTATATTTGCCATTTCATTTATCTTATCAGTATATTATCAGCCGTGAGTCAGGTGCAATAATACCAAGAATCATTGCTGTCAATACCATTTACTCGAAACAAATAGAATAATAAGAAACATATACAACAAAAAAGTAAATAATTAAAACATAACATGCAAATTTTTATACAAATACCATAGTTATTATAACTGATAATTTATTAAATATTTAACTACCTAATCAAGGTGTATGACCAGTAAACAAGTTCGAAATAATGTATGACTCATGCAAAATGAAAATGCGCAACATATTAAAATATTATGAAATATAGGTACATGACAGATTATGAGTTAGAGACGGCACTATGTTCTTCTATGGCAATTTTAATGACATTAGATCGTCGTAACTTAGAATGAATAGCTTAAAAACATTCACAATTTCAATTTTGAGCACTCTAAGTGCACCGCTACAAATATGTAGTATATTTCACAAAATATCCTACTTTTAACTTTCACTTATTTTTATTTAAATTTAATTCCACGAAGTAAGAATTCGAAAATTTAACTTCACAATGATGAATTACCAAAAATATTTATAATCCGATATCGGTATTAAAAACACGATAAAATATATATTTTCTCCTACCTACGCCGAAAGTTCGTTTTTCCTCCCGCTGTACAGGAAAGAAAGTCTAACTTTTCCTCCCGCTGTACAGGGAAGAAAGTGTAACTTTTCCTCCCTGGGTACTGACAGGTGCGCATGCGCGTTAGTGTCTACGTCTGCTCTCACGCACCTAAAATTCTGCGCCATTGTTGTGCTCGGGTAATTTGCAATATTGTGTTTAGTGTAATGTACTATAAAAGGAAATTGAATTATTATCCCACTTTTTTTAAATTATTGGTTATCATTAAAATCCTAATCGAATTTTGTCTATGTCCATCCACAAACTACTACTACCGCATCGTTAAAAATAGCACGGCACATTCCGGTGTCCACAAACTTATGCAAGATTTCTGAAAACCTTTGTCTCGAAATAAAACTGTTATATGGTTCGTGTTATAAGTTCACGTTTAAATTAGAGCTACCTCTATACATTTATTTCTTGCCATAATATTTTTATTAGCGTTAACATCGATAATCTACCTTTGCCTAATCTCAATCGAGCGATGTTTGAACAGAATGAGCAGGTATAGGGTATAAACGGTATAGTTACTACAGTGCAACCTCGATATAACAAATCGGAAGGAAGCAAGTAAATAATCGATATATTAAGTAATTGGGTAAACTGAGGTTTGTTATAAAGGTTAGATTGGTCTACCATTTGTTAAAAAAACTAGTTTTATTCACCTCAACATTACGTAGTCATCTTGTTATAGCGAACAACTTCTACTAATAAACGATAACACATTTTTGTCAAATTACTGTATGTATTTTCTATTAAAAAACAATTAGATAGTTAACAATTTTTCTCAAACCTGTCGAAACTGATTCACGCGGGTCATATTGGTGGGAACATTAAAGGCTTTGAGTCAACAAAATTCGTTAATTAAAGGTATTTACACTTTTTTGATAGTTGAAATTTCGTTATAAAGAGGTTGTTCGCAAGGAATCTTCGCAATGTAAATGTACATTTTACATTAACTCTTATGGACAATTCGAGGGGATAAGGAAGAATTTGTTAAATCGAGGACGTCGTTATATTGAGGTTCGTTATATTAAGATTGCACTGTATTGATATTACTCGCATATGATGATGGGAATATACCGTAGACGCATCCATATTATGCCCCACGTGAATCAATTATAACTTCTTCAGAGTTTATTTTTATCCAAGCCTAAATCCGGAATAAACTGTACAACTTCTCTTGGAATATATCTTTGTCCAGGCCTAAATCCAGAATAAACTGTACAACTTCCCTTGGACATATATCTTTGTCCAGGCCTAAATCCAGAATAAACTGAACAACTTCCCTTGGACATATATCTTTGTCCAGCCCTAAATCCAGAATAAACTGTACAACTTCCCTTGGACGTATATCTTTGTCCAGGCCTAAATCCAGAATAAACTGAACAACTTCCCTTGGAAATATATCTTTGTCCAGGCCTAAATCCAGAATAAACTGTACAACTTCCCTTGGACGTATATCTTTGTCCAGGCCTAAATCCAGAATAAACTGTACAACTTCTCTTGGAATATATCTTTGTCCAGGCCTAAATCCAGAATTAACTGTGCAACTTTGCTTGGACAAATTTTACTCAGCTCCTCAGGGCAAATATTATGCTATACTAAGACAGATTCAGCAGTAACGGCTTTGTTTTTTTTCTACCTAAGCTGATGGTCTTGAGAGACCATATCAGCATCACCAGGCAAAGCAGGCTTAGTAGAGGTTTATCCTAAGTCCAACAGACCGGTACAGCAATATCGCCTATGTATAGGTTTGATTAAAGACATATTATCTTTAGTAGTCGAGGTGTCGGGCAAACATCAATAGCACCTATTATTGTTGTTATAACAAACCCTTTTGATGCGAACACTTATCGAGTAAACAAATTAATTCATATATCAAACTTAATTTTAAAATAGATAGATTATATACATCGTGTTGTATTTAAATCCTTATTCTAAATATTTAATTTGATAATTTATTGTAAAATTATGTAAGTACAACGGCTCTGAACACGCATCGGTTGCCATCCATTAACGCCGGCCACACGAAAGATTTGATGAGGTCAGAGCGTCTGTCCTTTAGCTCTCCCGCCGAAAACCGTACATGCTTCTCTGGGTTCATTAACACTGAAAATTGAAAAATTATAACATATTATGTGTTTATTACGTCTTTTGTCATTTTCATCTTTTGTCATGTGTCACTGAGTATTTTAATACTGTCAATGCCATTGGATTTTTTTTTTATCATTTGATCTGACATCATCATCACTCTCCTGCCCTTGTCCCAGTCACCTGGGGTAGGCGCAACATGTTTTCTTCTTCCATACTCCTCTATCATATACCATTTCTTCGCTCCCTCCCCACTTACACATATCGTATTTCACGCAAGCCATCCATTTCTTCTTAGATCTACTTCTTCCTCTAAGGCCTTTCACATTCATAGTCAAAACTCTCTTAACAACCTCATTGTCATTTCGTCTTATCACTTGTCCATACCGTCCCAAAAGCGCGCTTCTGAACTTCTTTTCTTCTTCATTTCATTTTACTTTGATTCCAATATGAAATGAAGAATCCGATTATCGAAAAATGACAGTTCACTAAGCTGTATGTGTTCCGTGTCACTAAGCCATTCATCCGGGAAGAGGGTTTTTTTTTTCTACCTATGCTAATAGCCTTGAGAGGCTATTTCAGCTTCTCCTTGACGTGTAGGTGAGCTCACGGGGCTCAAACTGAGAGTATTACTAACACTGGCCCTAGCGAGAGCAGTGCTTCGCAGAATCTACTACCGCATCGGAAACGCGACCCACTGAGAAGATCCGGCGAGAAAATCAGTGGGCTGTGTCTATGGTTTAATTTACTCGTCGAGACGGTGACTGGTGCTTGAGGTACCTAAAAGCACTGTTAATGAACCGGGGGGGGTCCGTAATGACGTACTTACGCGACGTCGACTGTTTACCATTCGGTCCACAGGATCGGGAAAAGGGTGACACCTGGTCCTACACTTGAGGCTTCGACTGCGTGCCTCAAAGCAGGTGGCAAAATTCAGCCTTTATAGGTGGATACCACTTAAAATCAGGCCGTGAACTGATTACCCTATCTTTTTTTATTTATTGCGTTGATGACTAAATCCGTGCCCCATTAAGGAGTAGAGTAAATTACCGGACCTGAGTATAAGTTATTCTGCTTTTTACCTTTCAAACACCTTTCAAGCACCTTCACGACTACTTCACGACACAAATAGGAAATGCGGTTTCATCAACCAGGAATGACTTATAAATACCCTACCCTACAACCAGTAGGTAATTGATACCTCATATAATAGCACACACGTATAGCAAAATAATAAATTATGTTCTGCAAAATCTAAGAAAACACGTTTTTTACACAATTAATTTCATCTTTTTTCATCCTTCCAGTTGATAGTAGTCACGAGTGAAGTTATAAGATTATCTATTTGTTGCATTGTCATTGGCCCTTGATGCGAGTGAAAAATTTCACGTTAACCCAACGACTTGTAGCCGATAAACATTACATTAAAAAAATCCATTATCACAAACAAACCTTTGGTCAAGAGGAAATCGCCGGACTTCCGCCCTCCACTGGGGATGGAGGGCGGGGCATGTCAGATTCGAACTGACTAAAACCTTCTATCGCTCAATAACCCACGTCCAAACCTCGCATGAGACAGAACTCATGAAAAGGCAAAGGGGGGAAAGCGAAGCGTTTAGTGCGGAGCACATCTCTCCCATCACCCTCAACAAACCTAGCTAATAAAAGAGTGTTCATAATAATAAAAAAATATTTTACCAGGAGTGAAGTCGGTGTCGATTCTAAGTGGTGGAGAGTGCAAGCTGATGGTCCAAGCAGCGCGCGTGGCGGCCGCGACTAGCGCGTGTAGAGCAGCGCACGACGCCAGACAAGGGTACTCCCGGAGAGTATTGAGCACCTACAATATCGCGAAATACGTTCTTACTTTATACTTCTTCTTCTTCTTCTTCTATATCGTTCCCTCACTACTGAGGATCGCGACCACATGCGACGGTGTTAGGACCTCTTGGGAGTCCGCGCGGGTAGGTACCACCACTCTGCCTATTTATGCCGTGAAGTAGTAATGTGTTTCGGTTTGAAGGATGGGGCAGCCGTTGTAACTATACTGAGACCTTAGAACTTGTAACTCAAGGTGGGTGGCGCATTTACGTTGGAGATGTCTATGGGCTCATGTAACCACTTAACATCAGGTGGGCTGTGAGCTCGTCCACCCATCCAAGCAATAAAAAAAATTAAAAAAAGAGTCAATAAAATTCCCTTGCCTTACAATGTAAGTAATAAATTTATTCATCTGACCTGATTCACAACCGTTCTCTCGGCATCACCGAGAGGGAAGCTGTGAGCTGTTTCCTGTAGCATCCGTGTCGCTGCCACAATAAGCCGCGAGACCGTGGCTTCGTTGGCTTTAGTCTCTTCGTTTACTCCGAGTAGAGCCTTCACTTCGGACAAGCGACGATCACGAAGACTTATCACTGCTCGGAAAGAGAGCTGAGGATTGAAATGATTTTGTCACTATAATTATTTATTCATTTATAAAATTAAGTACTGGTATGTAAGCCAGTTACAGGCAGGTACAGCAATCTCTTATAACAAACACACTATGACATGTTACAGCAATTTTACAAACAGCGGAAAAATAGGCTAAATTTAAATGCTAACAGTACGACATAAGAATAATAATTAAAAATAACACGAAAACAAGAGTTAACTACTGAACATTCTCTCATCAATTATAAACAAAGGAACTTGGATACTAGTTTGTTTTTGAGACCAGGACACGTGTCGTTAAAAATGTCGATGCCGTCAATTAATGCACATGTTTGGTTATATTCACTACAAATCTTTGATAAAGGGGAATATATAGTTTTTTACTGGTGGTAGGACCTATTGTGAGTCCGCGCGGGTAGGTACCACCGCCCTTGCCTATTTCTGCCGTGAAGCAGTAATGCGTTTCGGTTTGAAGGGTGGGGCAGCCGTTGTAACTATACTGAGACCTTACAACTTATATCTCAAGGTGGGTGGCGCATTTACGTTGTAGATGTCTATGGGCTCCAGTAACCACTTAACATCAGGTGGGCTGTGAGCTCGTCCACCCATCTAAGCAATAAAAAAATTAAAAAAAACTAAGGTTTGTTCTACTTGCGGTATTATCGGCACAAATGACGTTTTGTTAGTTTCTGATAGACTAGTCGACTTAAGTGCAGACCAAGACAACCACGGATATGTTTGTTATATTATATAGACGGGTAAATGAGCTCACGGCCCATAGGCAGAAATAGGCGGAATGATAGTGCCTGTCCTCCAAGATTCACAATACAGGGCGTATTGTGTATTATCAGTAGTAGCGAAGTGATTAGGTAAATTATAATTTATACGGATTTGATTTTTATTAAACTATGTAATTCCTTCATAATGGAAATCATTACAAAAAATTATGTCTGCCGGTGGTATTCGAACTAGGAGTGGGTAATATCGGTTTTGCCGCGTATCGAATCGTATCTATATATCGAGGATCAATATCGGATATTGAATCTATATATTTTCTGAATCTATATATTGATGGATGCTAGTAGATTTTCTCGATTCATGATATTTGAGATTTGAAACGATACGCTGATATAATATCGTAGTAGATATAGATTTAAGTCAACGTTATACGGTTGGTTTTCTGATATCAATTTATAATATGATCTTAAAGTAATAAAAAGAACATGAAAATAAAAATATCAAAAAAACTTTCCTTCATGCTTTTACCAGGCTTAGGACTGGCTACATTATTTTCAGTTTTTAGTATTTTGTGTCTTAATTTAAAATTACAAAATATACCAAAAGAGTGTAGATTTCAAAAGTTTAATACAAACACAAGAAATAAACTCAATTATTTGGATTCAACTAAAAATAGAAAAATGTGTACTTTAAAAATCAAACACAAAAAACTTTTAAGTATTTATAAACACTTGTCCAAAAATTCTAGTTCAAGGTCAAAGCGCGTGAAATTAAATTCAACGATGCAAATAGGCTATACTGCATTCAAGTTAGGGTCGAAAGTTGAAACTTCTTTCCTTAATTGTATCCTGCTGATACGCTAAGAATAATCTACAGACATATGGACTTAAATATAAGGTTTACAATTGTATGGATAATGCCTGTTTCTGTTTCATTCATCACATGATATCCCTATCGTGCGCTCACTCACTCTGGCCGATTCGATACGAACCAAACGAATATTGCTGATATTAACGAATCGGTACGATATGCCGATGCGCATCACATCGAGCAATATCGTGTATCGGCTGATATCGAAATATAGATTTCGATTCACGAATCGGTACGATATGGCGATGCGCATCACATCGAGCAATATCGTGTATCGGCTGATATCGATATATAGATTTCGTGCGGGGCGATATCGGATTCAACGATATTGCTGCGATATATAGATATTGAATCTATATACGATTTATATCACCCACTCCTAATTCGAACACCGACACAGTCGAATCGCTCTAGATATATCAGGGGAAATCTTCCCTTAGGTCACGACAATTTCTCTGTAAAGTTCTCTCTCAATAATAACATTAAACTATTTCATATCATCATACCATGATCATCGCAATATCATAATTATTTTGCTTATTGTTTTGGAAAGAATAAACCAAATAACCATTTTATTTGCCTTGACATTTTAATTTCAATTTTATGTCGTAATTGGCTATGTTTTAGTTTTTACAAATTGAAATTGACTGTTTACACGCGTAATTTTAATCACGTTAATTTAATTGATAACTTGTCATTGATTAAGAACTTTTTCGTCGGTGATTAGCTCTAAAAGTCGGAAGCGAAGTGTATATGAAAAAAGTTATCACGTGTTCCAAATGTGAATATCAACCTTATTCTGAACAGATAAAATTGTGCTTACAACAACAACAGAGAAGACGATCTTGTATTTCAAGTGCGGCGTCGGTCGCAGTGGCTCCAGCGCCGCCAATGCCGGGAGCGCCTCAGCAGCAGCCCGCGCCCACACTGACGCATACTCAGAAACCAATTTGCTCCTGAAATGTTCATTTATATTGTTACGCCGGTAGGAGTAACGCCATCTATCGTCGAATAGGAGAAACAAATGTCAAAGGATCTAGAAACATCAAGAACGCTCGAGAAGTACTTTTACTGGTGGTAGGACCACCTGTGAGTCCCCACGGGTAGGTCCCACCACCCTGCCTATTTCTGCCGTGAAGCAGTAATGCGTTTCGGGTTGAAAAGTGGGGCAGCCGTTGTAACTATACTTGAGACCTTAGAACTTATATCTCAAGGTGGGTGGCGCATTTACGCTGTAGATGTCTATGGGCTCCAGTAACCACCAGTTAACACCAAGTGGGCTGTGAGTTCGTCCACCCGTCTAAGCAATAAAAAAAATTTAAAAAATCGACGTCGGAAAGTAATCGGGTTAATTACCTATCCGGATGCTGATGTGAGTCGTCACTGTCGGAATGATATCCATCGCTGGCAGAGTCCGTCGGTGACCGGGGCACGACCGACTGTCCTCCTGTAGCTTCTGCTTCGGACATTTGACTGAGGACGGCTGCACAGCCCCGGGAGTAGCTCATAAGCACACCCGCTACCGGTCTGAAAGTTAAATTATTGATAAGTTTGACTGTTAATATTTTCCGAGTAAGAGATATTTATATTTACCGGGAAGTCATTGTGGCCTAAAGGATAAAATGCCCGGTGCGTTCGTATCGAGCGATGCCACGGTATTCGAATCTCGCAGGCGGTACCAATTTTTTTTTCTAATGAACTACGTACTTAACAAATGTTAACGATTGACTTCCACGGTGAAGGAATAACATCGTGTAATAAAATTCAAAACCCGCAAAATTATAATTTGCATAATTATGTACTGGTTGTAGTACCGCTTTTGACTCCGCACGGGTAGATACCACCGCCCTGCCTATTTCTGTCCAGTAATGCGTTTCGATTTGAAGGGTGGGGTAGCCGTTGTAACTATACTGAGACCTTAGAACTTATATCACAAGGTGGGTGGTGGCATTTACGTTGATCTATGGGCTCCGGTTACCACTTAGCACCAGGTGGGTTGTGAGCCTATGGTAGACACCACCATGGAATACCTCCTGTAATGTTCTGAAGCGGATTCGGTCTCAATCTAGGAAAAGGGTATTTTACAGACTTCGCCCTATTCACATCGATTTTCCATTGGAGGAATTTTTGCATATATTACTTAGGTATTGACAAAATATGTCGTGTTGGCTTATCAGATTTTATATCGGCCACACATTTCGTGAGTGCAATTTCACGAATTTTTTTTAGATCATAATTATTATTTTTTGCTTAAATGGGTGGAGGAGCTCACAGCTCACCTGTTAAGTGGTTACTGGAGCCCATAGACATCTACAATGTAAATGCGCCACCCACCTTGAGATATAAGTTCTAAGGTCTCAGTATAGTTACAACGGCTGCCCCACCCTTCAAACCGAAACACATTACTGCTTCACGGCAGAAATAGGCGGGGTGGTAGTACCTACCCGTGCGGACTCACAAGAGGTCCTACCACCAGTAAACAAGACAGTAAACAAGACAGTAAAACAGTAAATATGAGTATGAAAAGCCCCCTCGGACTGCAATAAACCCATTTATACCCAGCGTCCGATAGCCTTAATAAACCATCAATACTAAATATAAATTATTTTGTTCGTCACTCATAAACTAAATGATTGCACGTATTGAAATTATCAACTAATAATTAAAATTGAATTGTATTAATTCTAACTACAGCTTTTTTTTAATTTAATTTACCAATTACTCTTCGCATCGTAAATTTTAATCTTGTTTATAATAAAACATAACAATGCAACGTGGAAAGCATGACAAATTGTTCGATGATAATTACACAATACGATTAATCGGATATTAAAATTATTTTATTGATACATTTTGTTTCAGTCTCTTTTAACGACTTGTTATTCGAATGGATATGGATACCAGCAATTTGGAACGCCTTGTGGTGACCGGTAAAATAGAGGGAAAAAGGCCTAGGGGTAGAGGTCCCAAACGATGGTCGGACCAAATAGCGGAGGAACTGGGGATACCTATCAGCGACGCACTCCACCGGGCTGCAGGGCGGGATCGATGGAGACAGTTGGTTGACGAAATCGGACGGAGTCACGATCCTCAGCAGTGANGTGACCGGTAAAATAGAGGGAAAAAGGCCTAGGGGTAGAGGTCCCAAACGATGGTCGGACCAAATAGCGGAGGAACTGGGGATACCTATCAGCGACGCACTCCACCGGGCTGCAGGGCGGGATCGATGGAGACAGTTGGTTGACGAAATCGGACGGAGTCACGATCCTCAGCAGTGAGGAACCGATCGAAGAGAGAGAGAGATTCGAATGGAATCTTGTTTGTTAGTTTTCAACCTCTTACAAAGTTGTATTTGCGTTGGATTCATTTCATGTTTACTTAGGCGTTTAATTCCTTACTTCTCTTAACATAAAGTTGAAAATCCCTAATTTTTTTTTCCTTCCTCAGATAATATTGATCTTTAGTTTTAACTGGATTAACACATACATAGTGGGAATTATTTTTTTAATAGAACAACTTAGATATATATTTATCTCTTTCGAACACTAAATCAAATTAAAATTATACCCTCCACACGACATAGAAGTCTAGGTGTTTCATAGCAAGAGAGAAAAAGACAAGACATATCTACATTTAATGAATTTAGTGACCTACATATTTCAAAGTAGATTTAAACACTCTTAAAAGCACGTATATTTGATTTTGTGATTTGAGAGCGCGATAAGCTATTGACATAATATGTATTATTAGACTCTCTGGAGTCCTAACCACTGGTGCCTTATGTCGCAGATACCGCCATCAGCGTCAATCTATTTTTATGTAGTGTTTTTTATCTTCTTTTTAAATATTGTAAAATTAATAATAATAATATTTTGCTATTATATATTTTTATTGCCCTTGTATGCAGACGAGCATACGGCCCTTCTGATGGTGAGTGGTTACCGTCGCCCGTGGACTTCAGCAATGCCAGGGGCAGAACCAGGCCGCTGCCTACCGCTTGATACTATCCACAAGCCTCGTTTGAAGAAGGACATGTCATAGCGCTCGGGAAACACCGTGGAGGGGAGCTCATTCCATAGCCGGATGGTACGTGGCAAAAAAAGATCTCTGGAAACGAACTGTGGATGAACGCAGTGGCTCCAGGTAGTAGGTAGGGGCGATAGTAAAAACGAGATGATGGAATCATCTCAAATAATTCCTCGGAGCACTCCCCATGGAACGATTTTTCAGAACGATAAAAATAATTGATAACGTCCTCAGATTTTCATTTTTTTTTTTATAATTTTTTTTTGTTTTATTTATTGCCTTTGCAGGCAGACGAGCATACGGCCCACCTGATGGTAAGTGGTCACCGTCGCTCATGGACGTCAGCAATGCCAGGGGCAGAGCCAAGCCGCTGCCTACCATAAAGAACTCTCCGCAAGCCTAATTAGTTATGTTTATTAAGTTTGGTTACGTCACACGCCGCAATGTAAGTGAAAGCTCGATTTCCAGTCGCAGTCGATCGGTTGCACAACATATATTTGATATGCCGATACAAGACGCATCATAACTTCATCAGTCATAATACACGCATCGTTTATTATAATTTGTGACAAGTTAAAAACCGCGTTTCATAATTTATTGATTTGTAGTCACGACCTGCCTGTCTTCTTTGTTGGATGCTTAAACTACTTTCTTTTTCCAGTAACCGTACTCGTCGAACTCGACAAAGAGGTCGACGTGCAACCTAGCCCATGCATCTGCCCGCTGAGTTTCTCGCCGGATCTTCTCAGCGGGTCGCGTTTCCGATCCGGTAGTAGATTCATTCGCGAAGCAATTGCTCTTGAGTTGTTAGGTCTCCTTCGGAGGCGCTCGGGCAGCTGTTAGCAAATCCCACCCCTCCTGGCTGAGCCTTTGCTCGCCCACCTGTCCTGGTGAAACTGGAAAGGCCTTCGGGCCACCAGTAATCACTCAATCATAAAAAAAAAAAATACTTTCTTTTTATTTTCTCCCAGTGAGCCCCAATCTCGTTCATTGCGACCATCGGTAAACTATGAACCGCTTCGATGGTCTAGTATTTAGTGTTGGCGACAACTGTACCCGACCATCTCTGTGGGAGATATTTCGTAATCTAGGTTTGGATGTTCTTGTCTTTTTATTTATTTATTGCATAGATGGGTGGACGAGCTCACAGCCCACCTGGTGTTAAGTGGTTACCGGAGCCCATAGACATCTACAACGTTAATGCTGGCACCCACCACCTTGAGGGATGAGTTCTAAGGTCTCAGTATAGTTACTACACCTTGTAGTTGTCTACGGGCTCCGATAATCATTTAGCACCAGGCGGGCCGGGCGCTGGTCCTAAGATCAAAGCATTCTATATATATAAAAATGAACTGCTGTTCGTTAGTCTCGCTAAAACTCGAGAATGGCTGGATCGATTTGGCTAATTTTGGTCTTAAATTATTTGTGGAAGTCCAGAGAAGGTTTAAAAGGTATTTATTTATATATGATAATTCTCGAAATTAAATAAAAATAACAATTTTGCTTGTCCTTTGATATATCCCCCATCGGACGGATTCCTTTTGTTTTTTATTTATCGATTGAGACACTACGAAATCCGCCGGGTCAACTAGTAAAAAAATAAAAAGTCGGTCCACCTAGTCATTTGACTCTATCAGTGAAAGATCTTCCCTTTCTCGTCGCTCGCGTTCCAAAAAAGCCTTTTTTTAATATATAATTAGCGTGTCATCTATCGTTTAATTTTGTGAATGTGCAAAGAACCTAAAATGTTCATAACAATTGAAATTTTCAACTCAATGTAATAAAACGACTTAAATATTTTTTTATATTCAAAAATTTTATGTATTCCGTTCGGCTCAAATGGTTATAATTGTAGCATTACCAAATTCGATTATTTCTTTAATTTTTTATTGGTGTAAACATTATAGTGCACTCAAAAAATTACATGACTCAAGTACCTTTTTAATACGCTTTTATTAGCTTCAGACGCATATGTAGGTATGTTAGTATGTAACGGAATCTTTGAACATGATTTTGACCCCTTTCAAAACGTCGGATTAACTCGAAATTTGGTATACTTATTAAGGACAGATGACAATTCAATATTTAAAAATTGAAAATATTGAAGTTCAATTAAAAAATGAAAAATAAATAATAGTTTAACTAACTGAAAAAATACGCATTTTTAGAAAATTTAACTAGAAAATAGAAAACAAATTTTAATAAATTTGAATTAAAAATAGTGTAAGAAAAAATGTTTTTATTGTAAAAAAATCGTGGGGTGCATGGTATCAGTAGTTATAAATAGTAGTAGATATGATATTATCCTGAAAAGCACCCCACGCTTTTTTACAATAATATCATTTTTTCTTACACTATTTTTAATTCAAATTTATTAAAATTTATTTTCTATTTATTAGTTGGATTTTCTATAAAAGCGCATATTTTTTTTAAACTATTATTTATTTTAAATTCAATTTGCGGGTAAATTCGAGTAACTGGCCATCGCAAGCATTCCTAAC